CCCCCCCCCCCCCCGCTGGAAACGCCTCCAGGGGTCAAACAAAGCTCAGCATTCTTGCTCTGCTGGAAGGGCTGAACCTTCTCCTTCCTACTTGTGCAAAACAGCTGCCCTGGTCGAAGGAGGCTCACATTGTGCTGGAGGGAGAGGCTGATGCTAGTTATCCCCACATCTCCACCCTCCTGCCGGCTGAGCGGCTCAGATTTCTGTGCCTTGTTAAAGCTTTTGCTTCACAGGTGAACTTTTGTGGCTTGGGGCTGCCTTTGCCGTGCAGGGTGGAGGAGCCTACTCATTACGCTCTGATTTAGATGGCGGCCTGCGAGTGCCCCAGACGCCCGCCCGGGGCTGGCACTCCCCCGCCTCCGTTTCCGGCACACCGTTGCTATTCATGCCAGCCTCCCTGCTGGGCTCAGTGCCATTTTCAGGAGGAATTTGCTTCCCTGCTCGAATCCGGCGGGGGCGGGGGGGGGCTCCAACCTAGAAGAAGCTCAGCAGGGGAATAGCGGCCCAAGGGGGGGCAGCATCCGGGGGCTCCCCTGGCCCCAGGGCCCTGGGCCGAGTGAAGTTGGGGGTGGAGGAGCATCTGAGCCTTAAGAAAATCCGGAGCGACTTGTGCTTTGGCCTTCTGGACATGGTCTTGCCCCTCTCCGAGGATTTGGACATGGTGGCTGTGCCTGGCACCCGGGCCCTGCCAGCTCTGCCTCTCTTTCCCGGATGCTGTGAAGCTCCTTGCAGCTGCTCTGTGGGGTTTGCGCACATCCAGCTCCAGGCTGACCCCCCCAAGGCAGATCTTCTGGGTGTCTGCCTGGTGTGCGGGACAGCTGAGCTACCGCTGCTGCTGCTGCTGCTCTGAGCTGGACCCTGGTGTGGAATCTCCTTCAGAGACGCTCTGGGCACCCTCCCCACGGCCAGGGCAGCCTCCGCAGCTCACTGTCTGTGCCCCCAGGCCACGATTCTCTCCCGCCATCAACTCAGAGGCTTTGGCCGATGCCCACCGGGACATTCCTGCGTTTGAGGGAGGGGGGCTGCCTGGTGCATTGGGCAGCCAGGCTGAGGCTCCCTTGCCCGGGGGAGGGGGGGCAGGTCCTGCTGCTGGAGACTGTGGCTTGATTGAATGGCTGACCCGTCTCCCCCAGGGGAGGGGAGGGGACTGCAGTCCTTTCTGGGGGAAATTGGGCAGCTGGGATTCGGTGCAGATTGTGAGACTGAGTCCCTGATTCTTTTCTGACTGGGGTAGAGGTGGGGGGAGGGGCAGCTTATGCATTAACAGTTGAGTTACTTAGTCAAAGGGCCTGCTGGGGAGTCATACAAATTCCGGAGGAGTTTCCTAGAAAATACTGCGTGTCAACTCATAAAACATGAGTTGAAGTTTTGTGTGTGTGTGTGTGTGTGTGTGTGTGTGTGTGTGTAACTTCTCTCTTCAGTAAGCATGGGGGCTTCAGATGGCGGCTTGCAGGAAAGGCCCTCCCCCCCACCCCCAAATGCTGTTTTTGGAGGGAACGTTTTGTGGCATTTTCCTGGTGGGCCCTCAAAGCCTGAGTCAGAAGAGCTACTTTGGCATGAGCTGGCCCCCCCCCCCCCCCCCCCCAAGCCCCCCCACCCCGACCGGTTATCAGGAGCAGCCCTGCTTTGGGTCCAGGCGATCCGTGGGGGCCTCTCTGCCTTTGGGAGCCGCTCTCGGCCTCGGTGCGATGTCTGCTTCCCTTGTGGGGATGGGACCTGAGAGCAGGATTCCAGGACTTGAGGGGCTGCCCCAAAGAAGAGTTGGGGGTCAAATTATTCTCCAAATTGTCCTCCAGGGCAGGACAAGAAACAATGGGTGGAAACTGATCAAAGAGAGAAGCAATCTGGAATTGAGGAAAAACTTCCTAACAGGGAGGACAATGAACCAGTGGAACTGCTTGCCACCAGAAGTTGTGGCTGCTCCATCCCTGGAGGTTTTTAAGAAGAGACTGGACGGTCACTTGTCTGAGGTGGTATAGGATCTCTTACTTGAGCAGGGGGCTGGACTAGAAGACCTCCAAGGTCCCTTCCAGCTCTATTCTAAGATTCTGAGCTTTGCACTGAATTTACCTCAGAGTCTTTCCCTTGAGAAAAGAGGAGCGGGAGCAGCCATCTTGTGAGGAAGCAGCTTCTGGCTGGCATGAACCGGGAGAGGGGCCGGGCGGGGGGCTTCCAGTCAGTGTCATCTCCCGGCGACTGCCTGCATCAAATCCTGGCGATTTTCAGGCAAGCCATTGTGTCTTTCCTAGGGCTCTGAAGGAGGGACTGGCGCAAGGTCAGCCTGCTGGTTTCCTGTCTGGGGGCAGGACTGGAACTCGGGTCATCCCAGATTCTAGCCTGGTAAATTTGCAAATGTCTCTTCGTCCTGCTTCGGACCTCAGGGATAGAAAGAAGGCGAGGCAGCAGTCCGGGGTGTTTGTGCATCTGTGTGTTTGTGTGAAGAAGGGGCCACGGGAGCAGAGATATCAGCCACTTTGTTGCCAGGAGCCTCCCCTTCCCCCACGCCCTGCCATAATCCTGCTATGGTTCTTGTGGTGGTGAGTTCCACAAGTCAGGGGTCTCCAACCTTCTCTGCTTTAAGCCGGGAGGACTTCAACTCCCAGAATTCCCCAGCCAGCAAAGCTTGCTCTCTTGTAATCCCTTCCTCTGCAATGTCTTCATTTTAGCTGGTAAGATAAAAAGAAACAGACACGGCTGGCTGGGGAATTCTGGGAGTTGAAGTCCTCCAGGCTTAAAGCGGCCAGGGTTGGAGACCCCTGCCATAAGTGAGGCAGCGAGGGGTCTGTACTCCCCACTAGTGAAAACTTGAGAGATCTGTGTTTTGATTTTCGGTTGTCCCCGCAAAGAAAACTCACGCTTGGCACCCCCCTTAGCTCTGGCCTCCCGTTAGCAGAGGCTTTGGGGGTGGGTGGGTGGGCGGGCAGGGGAAGGCAGCCAGAGTGGCTGCCCTCCTTCGCCAGGGAGGGGGCAGGCGTAGGAGGAGCCCCCAGTGGGGCTGCCTTGCGAGAGGAGGGAGGGTCTCCCTGCCCAGCTCTCTTCACAGACCCCCTGCGTCATACAGAGCAGCAGCAGCAGCAGCAGCAGCAGATCTCCTCGTCAGTGGAGACCGAAGCAAAATCTAATTTCCTCTCACTGGGATTTCATTTATTTTCTGCCCAGCCTGATAAGAGGAGGATCTGCCTGCCCCAGCCGCCTCTCCTCCAGGCCAAACAGTCTCCCGGAAGGCCCCTCCAGGGCTTTCCACCCTTTTCCTCCTCTTGTTCTCCTGCTGCGCTTAGGTCGGTCGGTCGTGAAGGGCGGAGGGAGAGAGGGGTCAGAAGGAGCAGCCTCTTAAGGGGGGCTGGGTCAGGGACCCGAATGACCTGGCCAGGAGGTGGGTCACCGGCCAGGCTGCCCCCAGCCCCCCAAACTGTCTTCAGGGGCTGCTTTGTGTGAGTCCAGCTTTGCAATGAAGGGGAAAGGTGAAGCTGGTCGGTTGGTCCCTAGGAAAGAGGGAGGGCTGCCCTCTGTTTTGGGGAAGGCCCGGTGGAGGGAGGAGGGACGGGCAGGCTCTCCCAGGCTTTGGAAACGGAATTCCAGCTTTTCAAAGATGCTCCTTTTGTGTGTGTGTGTGTGTGTGTGAAATGCTCAGAGCCTTTTGCTCACCCGCTGCAGAGAACAGCCTGGCTCTGTCTTTTGCGGGGGGGGGGGGGGGGGGCCCCCTCGGGGGGCGGGGAGGGGGGGGGGGGAGTATCAGTGGGGCTCCACCCCTTAGTCTGTCCCCCTGCCTCCCCAGCTGCAGCAGCCACTCCTGTAAAGCCCCCTCTCAACACACCCAAGTGCCTCCCCCTCCCAAGAGGGGCATTTTTCTTTAGCTCGGTGACTTCTTGGCTCTGCTTGCAGCGAGATAAGCAGCGGCCCAGCCCTGCCTCGCAGCCAGAAAGGGCCCGAGGGAGGCTCTTTCGGCATCCACCGCTGCCTCTCTCGCCCAGAAAAGCTTGCAGCTTCCCAGGAACCCCCCCCCAAAGGCTTGGGCAGTGGGCCACCTGGCAACACACCTCTGGCCAGGCGGCCAGGGACCGTGCTGGTGTGCCCAGAGGGTCTTCCCACCTCAGTCCGTTGGCTTCCCCACTGCCGGGAGGAGCCGAAGCCCCCCTCGCGGGGTCCAGAGGGCAGGAAAGGCCTGGGAAGAAAGCCCCCTCCCATCCCGCTCTGCAGCTGTAGGCCCGAGGGTGGGGGGTGAAGGAGGCTCCCCTGACTCTATGCAGAACTGCCCACCCAGCCTTGTCCAGGGGCACCAGAGCTTCCTTGGCCTCAAGTCAATATTGCAGCTAAAAGAAAACAATGCACAAAATACAATAATAAGCCAGGTCTTGATTTTTTTTAAAAAATAACCTTGTTTAATAACCCCTTTGCAGGGTTGCCTCTCCTGCCTCCAGCAAAGGCTGAGAAGTGACTAGTCCTCAGGACACACACAAGGGGATTTGAGCAGAATGGGAGTGTGTGTGTGTGTGTGTCTGTCTGTCTATGTGTATGTGTCTGTTTGTGCAAAATGCAAAAGTGGGGAAGTCAGTGAGGAGGTTGGAGACGCTCTGGTGCGTCTGTCGAGACCCCCAAAAAGCCCTCGACTCCCTTGGCCACCATATCTGAGCGAGAGGGGGCCGGGGCAGGGGTCTCTCTAGCTTCCTTGGGGCCAATCTTTGGCTCTCTTTTGGGGCACTGGACCTGGGTGAGTCCCATAGGCTGTGTGAACCCAGGATTATGGGTGTGTCTTCCGTGTCTGAGAGGCTGCTGCCCCTCTTCCCCACCCCCACCGCTTGGACTGGGCGATTTGGGATTAGGCCACAGCCGGAGGGAGTGGGGGGAGGGTTTTCTCCTTTCAGACCCCTCCCCATTGCGGGGGTCTCTGTGGGAAAAGGCTCTCCAAGGGCTCCCCTTCTTCTTGCAGTTCCTTTGCCTGAAGAACATCCGGACTTTCCTGAAAGTGTGCCATGACAAGTTTGGCCTCCGGAACAGCGAGCTCTTCGACCCCTTCGACCTCTTCGACGTGCGGGACTTCGGAAAAGTAAGTGGGGGCTTTGGGTGGGGGGAGGGGTCAAGTGGGAAGTGGCTTTTTTCCCAGTTTCTGAAGCCCCCCCCCCCCCCCCCCCCGAGGAAAATGCCTCTGAAGTGGGGCTCGAGATATGAGGAGAAGCACCTTGGCAACTGCCCAGGACAGGGGTCTCCAACCTTGGCACTTTAAGCCTGGCGGACTTCAACTCCCAGAACTCCCCAGCCAGCAAAGCCTGGTTGCCTGGCCAGAGGTTGTGTTGCCAGGTGGCCCAAGCCTTGGGGGAGGGGGTTTCCTGGGAAGCTGCAGGCTTAAAGTGGCCAAGGTTGGAGACCCCTGGCCCAGAAGCCCCCTGAGGTGTTGGCGGCCCCTTCTGGGTACAGCCGCTGCCGATTATGCAGCCACTGGCAACCAAGCAGGCCTTAAGGAGAGACGCCTCCACATTAGGTGCAGCACTGAGGGGGGGGCAGAAGCCTCCCCCCACCCCGCAGCTGTGTCCTGCAAGAGGCTGCTGAGCAGGTGCCCCTGGAGGTGCTTGGAGAGACCCTGTTAACATGGAGGGTCGACACTCTTGCGTTGCCTTCACCCTTCCAACCCAAATCACAGAAAGTTGCGTTGTTGAGGGAAGGGAATTCTTTTTGTAATTTGTAGAGCAGCTGCAGTCGTTCTACCCGTTTGGGCGTGTTTTAGGGCCCAAACCTGCTGCTGCCTAAATCATTGCAAATATACCTTTTTCATTAAGGACCTTCCAAAAATCACAACTCTTATTATGTAGGGAAGAAATCTTTTGGGGTGGAGGGGAAAGTCAAAACGAAATGCGGTTGCGTGGAAAGATCGCGTGGTCCCTCCCTGCCCGTTGAGCTTCCCATTTCAGTGTGCAGCATTTTGGCACCAGCTCTTTCCCCAACAACGGTGGTGACATTATAGCTGGTGCATTGCAGGGTTTTTAATTTCTCAGGGGGGCCATAGATGTAAATATGTATATGCTGCGCTGGGCTCTTTATGGATGGGAAGAAGTTTGGCTTCTTCTTGTCTGTGATTTCATGTTGGGAAACCTGAATTGGGAGGGGTCTTTGTGGAGCTCCCCCTCGCCTCTCTTCTGCCTGACTCCATGTCTGAACTTGCCTGGAGTCGTTTCAGGGGAAAGCAGATGTTTGATCTGGCAATTGCAAGCGAGGCATGTAGAGAGAAGAATTAAGGAGAGAAGAATTAAGAGGAGAAGAGTTAAGGGCTTCCCTGGCTGACTGCAAGAGCACTCAGGCTGCACCCTGCTGTGTAATAATGCTTTAAATCAGGGGTCTCCTACCTTGGAGCAAAGCCGGCTGGGGAATTCTGGGAGTTGAAGTCTGCCAGGCTTAAAGTTGCCAACGTTGGAGAGCCCTGCATTAAATGCTTTCTCTTTATATTTTATCTCTTGATTTCTACATGCCGGCGACGCATAGATTGAGTTCCCTGAACCACAAACCCACCATTTCACATGAGCCCGGCTGAGCATGTTGCATAATACAAGGCCACTCTGTCCCCAAAATGTTTTTTTTTTTAAAAAAAAGAGAATTATATTTATTTTCATTAGCTTCATGCCTGGACCAGAGAGTATATATTTTCACAGAAATGTGGGTGTGAGCAATGGTACCGCTTTCATAATTCCCCACAAATTGGGCAAGATTTTCCCCACAGATTAAGCAAGGAAGCGTATTTCAGTTTCTAGGCCTTTAATTGATGGGTCTTAAGTCATTGTGCAGCTGACTGCAGTTTTCCAGGGCTGTGCACATTTGGTGTGTCTTGCTTGTGCCTGGCAAGGCTCCCAACCTCTCCGCTGAATGGGGTCTCTGTCTGCCCGCGTGGAGAAGGGCACGGCGTTCCTGGCCTCCTCTCGGGCATGCTGGGTTGCAAACACTGCTGCGCCGTTATCTGGAACTCGGTGTCAAGTGCTCCATGGTTGCACATTTAGCAGCTGATCCGGGATTTGAGGCCAGAGGTTGGGAGGTTGGGTAAAATGCCACATCCGAATTTCCAGCGAGTGAACACACGGGGAGTCCCCCTTGTAGCCAGGAGGAAAAGTGCCTTTCTCTGCCAGCTGGTGGGCATCCAGAAAAGAGCAAGTCGATGAGGGAAAGCAGGACTCCGGCCAGCCACAGGGGCCCTGATCCTTTTGCAGAGATGAGAAGATGTTCTCCTTAGAATGGGAGGTTGGTGCCCTGTGTAGTTGCACCAGGCCGGGGTGGGCAGGAGCGCTGTCCTGCCTCTGTCGGAGTCTGAATCAGAGGAGGAAGACGAACAGCCGACAGGGAGTGGGAGTGTGGCTCCGTTGGCTGTGGAGGAACCCGGGGAAGGGCAAAGTCCGGCTGGGCAGAGCAGGGAAGAGATGGAACAAGGGAGAGGGAGTTCAGAGGAAAACCCCTCTTCATCCTAGGGCACACAGGGAGGAACAGAGAAGGGAGCAATGTGAGTTGCGTGGCTTACGGGGGGAGGAAAGGGCCCTGATTCTCTTCTTTAGCTACAGCTGGGAAGAAAGTTTAAAAGAGATGCATGCTGAGTGCAACAGCTGCTGGGAGCAAACATGACTTTATTTTGTGTTGACTTTGGTTATCTGCATTCCTGGCATCCTCCCAACCATGTTGAGTTATTGCCGTGCCTTCGCATCTGGAATTCTTGCTCCTGCCTGCCGGACTAATTAGCTCATTAGCTCAACAGTTTTTGTTGACCACGTTTTGGACTTGAGTCTCTGCAGCCAAAGGCTGTTCCTGGGAGAGTTTTCCTCCAGCCCAGAAGGTAACCAGGACATTGGGGGCAAAGTTGGAGCTAATAAAGGGACTCTTACTGATAATCTGACTGGGTTGCCTTTGTGCCACGCTCCTTTGGGTCAGCACAAGTGCCTTCCCTGATTCTGAAGACTCCTGTCCGGCCACATCTAATGCTCTTTCATTCAACAGCCCCCATTTTGGCTTTAATGAGTGGGGTAGACTTGTTTTGAATCAGAACGGGCCCCCCGACTTCACTCCTACGCCCAGTTGCAAGTGAGAGTCCCTGGGAATGAAATGAGGCCACATTCCAAAGTTGGTGAAATACGATGGACTAGATTTGAAAATAGGAAAATGAACGATATATTATTCTCCACAGCAAAGGGAAGCAGAGACGGTTAAACTGATTCTTTTATCCAAATAAGAGATTGTATTTAATTTTGTCTCTATTTTGAAATTGCTTCCGGATTTTGTGTTTGCAATGAGGGGGGAAAAAATGAAACTTTGATTCTGTTTTTGTAAACTAGACTTGCTTATTGTTGTAGAAATGGCTTGTACATACTGCTGTGTGTAAAAGCAAATGCTTGCATTGTCGTTACCTTCTACTGTGCTAAGAGAGTCAGCAGTTGGTGCTTTTTTTCTTTTCTCCTGCTAACTATACCCCCTCTTTCCCCCTCCCTCTCTTCTTACTTTTCCATGTTTTTTTTCTTTGTATTTTATACTTTGATAAACTAATAAAAAAGTTAAGAGGGGAAAAATGAAATGAGGTCAGGCGCAGAATAATTCTACTGGGTTTGTCTGCCACCCTAAACTGCTCGGGGGGGGGGGGGGCTCTTGCAGAGGACCCCCAACAACCATGATTACATCCCAAGACAGGAAGGTCCTGCTCAGAGGGCCCTCTGGCTGGGGCTGGGGGATTCTTCCTGGCCCACCTTGGCCTCTTGATATCCTTGGCCCTGCTGTCCGTGGAGACTCTCCGTCATCCATGATTGTTCCTGTTGTTTCCTTCAAAGAAGAAACAAAGACGGTCTGGTTGCTCCTTGAAAAGCACCTCTGGGACCCTGATGTCCTCCTGGCCCTCTCGAGGGGAGGGGGGTTGCAGGGGGTGATTTGGTCAGCTGGTCCTCCTTTATGAGCAGTGCTGTGCGGGAAGAGGTCAGTTTGGAGGCTCGGCTATGGGGGCCGCCCCAGGACTTCCCTTTTCCTGCTCCCATCTGTCATGCCCCTGTTGGAATCTGATTCCGAGGGGGAGGTCGAGCAGCTGACAGGGAGTGGGAGTGTGACTCTGGTGGCTGTGGAGGAAACTGGGGAAGGGCACAGGCCGGCTGGGCATTCAGAGGAAGACCCAGTCCCAGTCCCTCTTCATCCTGGGGCACACAGGGTGGAACGGAAAAGGGAGCAACGTGAGTTACCTGGGTTACGGGGGAGAAAAGGGCCCTGATTCCCTTCATTAGCTGCAGCTGGGAAAACAGGATTTGAAAAGAGTGTTTGCGCACAGCACCTTGCTGGAAACAAAGCGTGCATTATCTTTGTTTGTCAAGTCTTATCTGGGCTCTGGCGTCCTCCCAACTGTGTGTGTTATCTTTTGAAGTCTGCAATTCCTTATCCTGCCCTGTCTCGTTAATTGCTGCAGCTTGTGGTTTGTGTTGGTTTTTATTTATAATTTATATGTACTTTGGGTTGGACGGAATTTCTTCCCTTTAAAAACTGTTCTTGGGAGAGATTTTTCTCCAGCCGATGATAACTGGACATTGGGGGCCAAGTTGGAAGAATTAAAGGGACTTTACACACTTTTGTGATTTTGTTGCTTTTGTGCCACGCCCCTTTGGGTCATCACACCATCATAGTGGAGCTTCTGGGGAAACCTGTCCACTGACATGGGGTGAGAGGTGATCAGGCGCTGAGTGGGGCCATCATTGTGCCTCTTTTCCTGGCTTCACCATCCAGGCTCTTTCCCAGCATCTGCCCTGGTGGGTCTCAGTCCTAGGAAGACCCAGGTGGTGGTGGGATCCTCCAGGACTTTCCATCTTTACTCCTCAGAGAGAATGGGGAGGGGGCTGCATCGTGTCCCTTGCGCTTTCTGCTCCTTCCTGCTTGAAGAGCCGGGCACGGATCCAGTTGCTACCATTCACCATTGGAGGAAATCGTGCAATGGGGAAGGAGGAGGGGGGCCTTAGGGCTAGGGAGGCCTTCCCTTGGGGTGGGGCTGAAACTGGGAGCCCCTCACTGAGGGGTTGGTCTGGGAATCCCCCTGTGCAAGGCCTCCTGTTTGCA